GAAATAACAGAATAGCCAAAGGATGAACTGATGAACTGGAAGATAAATCTGAGGAAATCACTCAGATTCCAACCCAGAAAGACAAGCAGGTAGGAAATATGAAGGTGGCTGAGGTAAGGAGAGCAAAATAGAAAGCCCAGCATAAGTTAAATTAGAGCTCCAGAGTGAGAAAAGAGAGGGAAGGGAGTTATTAGAAAAGAATGGCTGAGAGGCCTGCAGAATGAATGATACACACAAACTATCGACTAGATAAATAAAAAGAAATCCATACCTAGACACACTGTAGTGAAACTGCAGAACATCACAAACAAAGACATCACAAAGCAGCCAGGGAGTTAAGATAGATCACCTACAAAGGAACAACAATTAAGCTGACAGATAATGTCAACTGTAGTAACAGAAAAGGAACAGATAGAAACCAAAAAAGTTAGATGGTAGAAAGAAGGCCACATACGTCAGTAATCACAATAAATGTAACCAGATTAAACTTTTAAGTTAAATAATAAAGACTGTCAGACTACATTGAAAATATCTAGATATATGGTTTTCAAAGGATAACAGACTCCAACATAAAGTCAATGGAAAGGTGAAAGTAAAGGGATATTAAAAAGACACAGCAAATTCTAATTAAAAGAAAGCCAGAATGCTGTATTAATTCCAGATAAACTAGACCAAGAAGTATTGTAAGATATAGAAGGGATCAATGAATCATGATAAAATAGCTGATTCATCAGGAAAACATGGCAATTCTAAATTTGTGAACACCTTATAAATTAGCTTCAAAATATATAAACAAAAGACTGACATAACTACATAGAGAAATTGAGAGCTCTACTATTTCATAGGGAGACTAACCTCTACTGGCTGATGTGTCAAAGACAAAAGATTAGGGAAGACAAGTATCAGAATTTACTAGATTCATAGATCCACAGCATCTGTCTTTGATGAACAAAAAGAATAGTTATAAAAACTGATCACACTAGACCATAAGACAATCTTACCAAATTTTAAAGAATCTATTTCAAATGAATGATCTTTTGTAACCATACTGCAATTAAGCTAGAAATAAATAATTTTTTTTTTTTGAGGCGGAGCCTCAAGCTATCCCCCTGGGTAGAGTGCCATGGCATCACGCTCACAGCAACCTCCAACTCCTGGGCTCAAGCGAGTCTCCTGCCTCAGCCTCCCAAGTAGCTGGGACTACAGGTGCCCGCCACAACGCCTGGTCATTTTTTGGTTGCAGTCATCATTGTTGTTTGGCGGGCCCGGGCTGGGGATTCGAATCTGCCACCTTAGGTGTATGTGGCTGGTCCTTAGCTGCTTGAGCCACAGGTGCCGAGCCTAAATAATTTTTTTTTAAGACAGTCTCACTTTGTCACCCTCAGTAGAGTGATGTAGCGTTATAGCTCACAGCAACCTCTAAGTCTTGGGCTCAAGTGATTCTCTTGCCTCAGCCTCCTGAGTAGCTGAGACTACAGGTGCTGGCCACAAGGCTTGGCTATTTTTAGAGATGAGATCTCGCTTTGGCTCAGGCTGGTCTCGAACCTGTGAGCTCAGGCAATCTACCCGCCTCAGCCTGTGCTAGGATTACAGGCGTGAGCCAATGCCCCCGGCCAATAAATTTTTTACATTTTCCCACTCTGTCACTCCAGCTAGAGTGTAGTGGTATCATTATGGCTCAATGCAACCCAGGATCACCTGGGTTCAGGTGACCCTCCTGCTTCAGCCTCCCAAGTAGCTGAGACTACAGGCACATGCCACCATGCCTCATCATCAGCTATGGTGAGGACTTTGGTCTTTTTTCTAGACCCTTAGAGTCTGGTGCCAAGCAGAAAAATGATACAATCTAAATTATGTCTCTAAAAGGTCATTCAAGAAATAATATTTAAAGGGCACCTACAAATCAATAAAATAGTCAACAAACCAGTTTAAAAAGAACTGGGCAAAAGAAAGAAACAGGCCTTTTCAAGAAAGAAAACACAAATGGCTCTTCAACATATGAAAAGATGCTCAACTTCACTTATATTTCCACACATCAGATGACCTAAGACTTGAAAGTCTGAGGAAACAGTTGGAGAGGGTATCAGAAAATAGGCACATTCATACATCTTTTCCTGATGGACAATTTGCAACATTCTAAAAACTACAAATGCACTTTCTTGCACAGAGACACAAGCACAAGGCTATTCCTATAAAAGACTATTATACAACAGCCAGTGTGGTTTCATGCAAGGATATTTCGGAGCATAATATGTCCACAATTAGGGACCTGGTTAAATAGTTACATAATATTCATAAAATGAAATACTATCTAGTTATTATTTTAAAAAATGACATGACATGTAGCATCAAGGGACAACCTCCAATATTTACTGTTTTGGGTTTTTTTTTTTTGAGACAGGAGCCTCAAGCTGTCCCCCTGGGTAGAGTGCCGTGGCATCTCAGCTCACAGCAACCTCCAACTCCTGGGATTGTTGTTTGGCGGGCCCAGGCTGGATTCGAACCCGCCACCTTGGGTGTACGTGGCTGGCGCCTTAGCCACTTGAGCCACAGGCGCTGAGCCAATATTTACTGTTTTTAAGAGAAAAAGATAAAGCATAAAGCTGTATTTTGTGTGACTAAAAGAAAGTGACACTCAGCTTTCCTCTGAGGAGGAGAATGGTAAATAAGGGTAATTTTCACTCTACCTTTCTTGTGCTTTATGAATTTCATATCATTTACCTATCTTGCCCCCAACAATTAAATTAAAAAAGGTAAATATTAAACACCATGACTGTTAGACAGGGCACAGACTGGAGTGTAACAGAAGTACTTGTGTGAAGAGCTGTAGCCAAGTATATCTGTCAAAAGGGGGACATCCTCTCTTCCCCAAAGCCCAACAGGGTGTACAGGTGGTAGGCACTTGAGGCTCAGGAGCCATTATGGTCACTAATGGAGACTGCTTGAGTCCCAGAAATCCACTCCTTCACCTGCTATGTGATCACCTACTATGTGCTCAGTTGGCAAGCCAGTTAAGCTGCCCTGGCCAAATTACACAAGGGAGTGACAGCAGCCGTGGCCCCATGCTGGGGACCACACTTACCTGGTTCCAGGCCCAGCTCAAGCATCTCCTCTTGTACCACCTGCACCAGCATGGCCAGCAGCAGGAAGAGGAAGGCAAAGGTGAGGCAGACAGAGCGCTCACCCCCCTCCTCTGCACTGAAGTACAGCCGGGTCACAGTCAGGAACATCTTGCTGGAGGCAGAGCTAAGACGGCCTTGGGTCCTGGTGCCACTATCCCCAGCCCACTCTACTAACCCCATCCCAGGACCACTTCAGGGCACAAAGACCCTTGCACAATTGGCCTAGGGGAGCCTGGAGAAGTTTTGGTTTGGGGTTCTAGGACTCAGATCAGGGTGTGAGCTGGGGGTGTTCAATCAATGGGAAGTGGCCTCATCATACCACTTGTGGCCTATTAGAAATGGCTACCAAGTCTGCGCAACTCCCCTCTGCCCCCAATCTGGTGATCCTACCTTCTTGAATCCCCTCACATCCTGGTTGCATCTGCATCGCTTGGGAAAGCTATCAGAGATACATGGGCGCTCCTAATGATTCTCAAAACTGACATGGAGCTTCTGAGAACCAGTATGGGTTTTTTTTTTTTTTTTTTTTGAGACAGA